CTCGAGATTTCCTGCTCTTTTGTTGACTTGTCTGTTTCTCTCTTCAGTTCTATTTTGCTTCATGTGTTTGGAGAGTCTACTGTAGACAGGAGCTTCTTCTATGTTTATGAACATCTTACTTCTGGATGAATCGATGCCTTTGTCTTTGTAAAATGTTTTTCATTGTCTCCAGCAATAACTTTCTGTCTCAGTGTTGGTTTTGTCTGATGTGTGTAGCTGTCTCTGGGTACTGCTTGCATGTATGTCTTTTTTAATCCTTTACTTCCAACATACTTGTGTCTTTAAGTATAAAATGTCTTTTGTAGACAGCATATATTTTGATCAGTTTTTCCAATCTATTTTGCCAATGTCTTTGAGTTTTATTTATTTAATGTAATTACTAATACTGTAAATGTCCCTTAGTGTGAATTTGTCCAATTGTTTCCTCCTAACTTCAGATACTCACCAGGAGAGTTGCATCTTGTCTTTGTGCCCCAGTGCTGATGCTAATGTTGGTCATTGATTTAATTACTGTGACATCTGGTAGATTTTTCCACGGCAAATCTGTAGTTTACAGTTAAGCAACCTGTTCAGAGATATTTTGAAACAGTGCCGCTCTTTTCCACAAACTTGCATCCAGTGATTTAAGCTTCTGTCAGGAGTAGAACATAGAAAATAAAAGCTTTGCCTGAGTTCGGAGGAACATCTGTCTGCTCTCACCTTGTTTAAGTACACAGATAAGCTTTCTTTCCTAGTGTCCTGACTCATGTTGTATCAGCTAGTAAAACTGCTTTGTTGAATGATTGAGCTCAGGAAGGAAAGAACTAGGGTTTTATCTAGCCTCTGATGATCTGTGCTCCTTTTCCCTTCTTTACCTTCAGGCCTCTAGAAGAGTCAATAACTTTCTGGTTCTTTCATTTTCATAATTGTGGCATCTTGTTAAACAAATCTCCTTTTTAGGCATTAAAAATGAAAAAGACTAACTCTGATCAAAACTGAAGCCAGGATTCCAGTGCACTGTTCCTGCCTTCCTCGTGGATCTTGTCATCTGTAGCACAGTAGCTGTGTTAGGAAGGACAGGGTATGACTTTTTTTATTACCTGGTTTATGTAATAAAAACTCCTCTGCTACTTCAGTTTCTCGTGAGCTATGTTGTAAGAAGTGGGTGCTAAAAGAAAAGAGAAAGAGTATTGTTGCAAAAGATCTTGCTTGTTGGAGTTATTTGTCTTGACTTTCCAAGTAGTATGTCTTCAACATCCTTTTTTTAGAGTCCATTGGAGATTTCCATACTACAAATTTTCTTGGCCAAGAGTATTAGAATTTCTAATTATTCTCTTGGAACCTTGCCGCCAAGCTCTTACACCATAGCTTCTGCAATCTTCCCTGTACCGGTTCCAGGATAACCACCACACTCACCCCCCACTTCACTCCCCAAAATAACCAAAATCCAGAAATATTTCAAGTTCCATAGAATTTTGTATATACCCCATGCAAAACTTTCTGCAGATGCTTAAGTCATTTGAATTATTTATGATACCTGTATATATAAAATGTTAAGTGATTTATAAATAGCTGTTAAGCTGTATTGTTTAAGGAACAATGACAAGGGACAAAAATCTGTCCATTGTCAGTACAGATATTTTGTTTGTTTGTTTCTGAATTTCCCCATCCATCGTTCGCTGACTGTACAGTGCAGAGCTAACAGATAGAGAAGGTTAACTACCGTGTTTATTCTTACTGTCTTCCTGAGGAGAGAGCCTTCAAGGGGTTCAGGAAAGTGGCCTGTCTTTTGGACATGTATACACATGCATGCATTAGCCTAGGAAAGTCAGTTTTGTTTTTCCATCAGTAAGGGTACAAACCACCCCACTGCTGTGACATGGCAACATAGGCCTTGAGCATTCTTCTTGGGGGGGAAATTTTACTGTGTAGGGAAAGAAAAGAAAACAATGCATTGTTCCCTAAACCTGTGACTCACAACTCATTGACTCTTTTTTGGATATACCTAAGATAGTAGTGTTTAGATAGATGACCCCAGGACCAGGATAATTATGTTTTGGTAAACTGCAAAAGATGCAGTACATCCTTAAAATGCTAGCATCTGTTCAGGACTCCAGTGAAGTCTGAGACTGAAGTTAAAATTCCATTCCGCGTTCTATTTACACACTTAGGAAAGCACTCAGTTTCTAATATGGGTTTTGTGCTTATAGAATCAACAGTTGCCTTGGTCAGGTCAACTCTGCATACTGTTCCCCACTTAGTATACTTCTTTCAAGCTCCTCCAGCTCATTACTCATGCCTTTGGTCTTAACTTGTCTGGCTTCCTGGAGTACCCATTCTTTTGTATTTTCACATGCTCAAAGTGTACTTTTAATCAAGGAAAACTGACCATTCAACTTAATGTAGCTTCTCCAGTTGCCTAGTGGTTATGGTATAGCACCTAAATTTTTATTATTTGATTAGTCACCTGTCTCCTTGTTAGAGTGTGTGTGTGTATGTGTGTGTGTCACAAGAAAACAGTTCTCATGTGCCTTTTGTTCTTCTTTAACCTACTACCTAGAACAGGTTTCTATAGTAACAGGGTGCTCAATAAGTATTTGATGATGAGTGATTGATTCACCATCATGTGCCCTTTCTGGCAAGTCATCAAAGTTTCTGCATAAACATCGTCTTATAATTAAACAAAAAATCCCAATTCAAAAATGGACAAAGGGCTTCAATAGACATTCAGAATTACAAATCAGGACATGATCACATGCTGAATATCATTAATCATTGGGTAAACCTAAAGACCACAGTGTACCACTTCATAACCATTTGGATGCTATGGGAGGATGAATTACCATAATGGGGAAGGGGGGTTATTTAAGGGGCACCGAGTTTGGAATGGTAAGAAAACTCTGGAAGTAGATTGTATACTGATTTATTAGTTGCACAACAGTCTGAATGTACTTCATGCTATTGAGTGGTATATTTCAAAATGTCTGATAACTTTTATGAATATTTTACCACCACTAAATTTTTATTCACTCAGTAGCTTCTATTTATATAAGAATATGAATATATTAAAGTATATACAGTATTTTTAAAAATCTGTTGTTCATTGATGGACACTTACCTTGGGTACTGCAGGTAAAGCTGAAGTGAACATGGCTTGACCATAGAGTGGGATTGCCTGATTGTTTCCATATAATACTGTAGTACACATGGTCAGATGAGGTTGATGGCAATGTAGTGATTTATTATAATTTTTAAGTATATTATAGAAATAAGATAGAAAAACAGTGTTGTCTCAGAAGATAAGCTATAAATCCTGTTTTGTTTTGTTTTGCTTGTAGTTGGGCTTGGTTAAAACATAGAATGTTTCTTTGTTGACTCTTTACTGCTAAAACCTAGAATTTTGCCAGAGTCTTAAATTTTCACTTCTAAGAAGTCCCACTATTTAATTGTTCTGTGTATAAGCCTAAGGAATAAGTACAGTCATTCTGGTCTATCTGTTCTGAAAATGAAAAGGAATTTATGGCAGTAGCTTTGCCCCCCCCCCCACCCCGGCATGTCCAGTAGAGTGGAGTTATAGTTAAAACACTTGCAAACATCCCAGAGAACTGGGATTCTCTGAACGTACTGGGAAGTGATGTGTGCATGTTTGCATTTATATACTCATTTCAAGCAACACATTGATGGGTTCAAAGCAGGGCTTCACTAGAAGATGCAACTTTTAAATTAAAGTTCCAGATACCGAACCAAGTCCTTGTGTGTACTTATTTGGGAGATTTAAAATTATCTTGGCCATTTTATCATATGATCTTTGGTGAAATTCCAGAAGCAGGTTTCATGGGTTTTGTTTTTTGTTTTTTTTTTTTTTGTTTTTGTTTTTGAGTGTGGAAAACCATCTTGGAGATTCTTGAAATTAGTTAAAACAGCAGAAGACAAAATACATATGTTCTCATTATAAATTAGACTTTACCTTGAGTTTAAAGTTCTTTTTGTTTTCTTGATGTCTTATGCTTTTTACCCGTAAGTTAAAAGTCTGTCTACTTTTTATTTATATCACTTATTTTAATTTCATATACTTAATGATTTTCTCAGATATTCTCCATTTACTTAACAAAAGTAGAGTCCAGTCAAGCTTAGATTCAGGCTAACGCTGAAATAATACAAAAATTATTTCTCTTCTTCAAAGCTACTGTTAAAATTTGGCAGAGTACATCTGTGCAAAGATATGAAAGGTGGTGATGATTCATTCCTGGCCCAGACCAAATTGTTATAGCATTACTTGCCTGAAAGCATTCATAAATAACACATGAAAGGGTCCCCTGCCCCTGGGGTTTAGAATTGGGATAGTCACTCTGATTTGGAAACCATAGGTCAGAGTGGAGGCGAATAGACCATAGTGACAATGGTGTATAAAATCAAGTACTTAACATTTGAAGATATCAGAAAGCTGGAAACTAAAAGTAAAGAATCAATGTCCTAATTTGTGGATAGAATTGCACTTCAGAAAATTGTTGTTACCAACTAAGGGTGGGAGAACTTTGCTCACCTTTGGGCAGTCAATTAAGAATGTTTAACTGGAAAGGGAGGCTATAATAGAATCTTCAAGAAAAAGGAGAGCATCATTCATAAGTAAAAGGTATTTATTCACTGGCGCCAGGCCTAGGACTTCTAAATAAGTATGCTTTAAGTTTCAAGTTGAATTAAAAATTACACTTTGGATACAAAGTTTATTTTGAGAACCATCCCTTTAAACATTCTTCTAAATTAGAGATCAGCAAGCATTCCTGTTCAAAGGCTATGCAGTCTGTATCATAGCTACTATTTTAATGGAAAAGAAAATGTGGACAATGAATAAACAAATGTGCATGGCTGTAGTCTGAAACTTTATTTCCAAAACCAGGAGATAGATGAATTTAGCTAAGTCTATGTACTAAATGGAACATGCAAAGTTGTCCATGTGTTTTAGTCTATATTTCGCAATCTACAGTGTCCTTGTGCAAGTTCTCGACACTATTTTATTCTAGTTACTTCACGGAAGCCCAGAGAAGATGAAAAGGATGGACAGGCATATAAATTTGTGTCCCGATCAGAGATGGAGGCAGATATTAAAGCTGGAAAGTATTTGGAACATGGGGAATATGAAGGAAACCTCTATGGAACTAAGATTGATTCTATTCTTGAAGTTGTACAGACTGGAAGGACTTGCATTTTGGATGTCAACCCACAAGTGAGTTGCATAAATTCCAAAGCTGTTTTTAATTTTTATTTTCCTGGGGAGTTTTTGACTGTATATAGGGTATGGGGAGTGTGTTTTATCAAGCTGGGAATATGGTTCTTTCTCAACTTCATTATGAGTCCATAGCTGGATACATAAGTAAACATCAGACAGCCAAGAAGAGCAAAGATTAATAACCCTTGATTTTACAGCAAAGTAAATGGCTTGACAATTTAGGGAAGTACTGTGTCAAGTTAGGACAGAGGGCACAGGCAGTAAGTTATATTCTTAACCTTAGCAAAGAGACAGATAGACTTCTGTTTATACTACGGCCAGCACACTTCAAGTTCTGACATTATATAAATTGGTTTGTAATTACTTTTGCACAGGCATTGAAAGTGTTGAGGACATCGGAGTTCATGCCTTATGTGGTATTTATTGCTGCTCCAGAGCTAGAGACCCTGCGTGCCATGCACAAGGCTGTGGTGGATGCAGGAATCACCACCAAGCTTTTGACGGTAGGGGGCTCTTTTCAAGTTAACACTTTTATTTTCTCTTTTCTTCTGAGTATGTTTAATTCCATCTAATCATACTTAGGATGTCACTGCACTATGTAAAGTGCTACAGAATGAAAATTGATTTACCAGATATAGTTAGGATTTGAAACAATATTGCCTGTATGTGACAGTCCTTCACTTTATAACAGAACTTGAGTTTTATACCATGAAAAAGATCAGTGTTGGAATGTATACATTGTAGTTTTCCATCTACGGCCCTGTGTAATCCTGGAATTTCTTTCTTCCTTGGATCTCAGCTTAACTGTCATCACTCTGTCTAAATGTAGATCTTTTAAAAGTCTTTGTGCCTAAGTGTGTTTTCTTCTAGAGTACTTACAAGTTGCAAATTTTCTATTTGTCCTTCATCTACCTTTTCTACCAAAAAGCAGGAGCCCTTTCTGCTTCACTTTTATCTACTGATTCTGAGACTTTGCAGACATTCATAGGACCCAAATTCCTGCTTGAGGATTCCATGTGAAGGTGTAGTGGAGTTTATGGAAACCCATCACTTAGGTACTCCACTCCCTGTGCTGTCCCAAACCACCCAGGAGTACTTGATGAAATGCGAACAGTAATCTCAGAAATCAAGTCGTCTATAGGTGTGTGTTTGGGCACAGCCTAGAGTCTTCAAATCACACTTGTAAGAGTCTCTGCCTTTCTAAGTGACAGGAGGCAAATGGACTTTGAGTTGAATAGCCACTACAGGCTGGGTCCTGGCTTTACCCAGGTCATAAGATAATACTCTTTTGAAAAGGAGTATCTAGAAGTCAGCCGGAAGTCAGGCATCTGTAGTAATTCTTGCATTATCTTGGACTCACCCTAATAAAGTGGAATTTCACTCTAATGCCAGCAGAACAGAAGGTGTAGAATACTCATAAATCATGGAAGTAGATGGAAAGATGGCAACATGATCAGATATATCTGGTAACACCTTCTTCAGCACTGTATAGGGTAGATATTGAGGATTGGCATCTGAATTCCAACAAATACCCAACCCCTTCATTTTTTACTCACGTTAGTCTGAATAAGTCAGTGTGTATTACAATGCAAACTTTTTTTTTTAACATTCACAGGACTCTGATTTGAAGAAAACAGTGGATGAAAGTGCACGGATTCAGAGAGCTTACAACCACTACTTTGATTTGATCATCGTAAACGACAATCTAGACAAAGCCTTTGAGAAACTGCAAACTGCCATTGAGAAACTAAGAATGGAGCCACAGTGGGTCCCTATTAGCTGGGTGTACTGATGATTCGATAAGGCTAACAGTTAAATAAAACTTTTAAAAAGTGACTCAACAAGTAAACCTTCTACTGGGAGAATACATGCAGAGGTAGAAGGCGTCTGCCACATGGAGGCATTTTTATTATGTAGATTGAAATGACAGTGCACTAGGTGGAATTTTTATATAATTGTGGTTGGGAAGGTATACTAATATATAATTTCTCTTAATTTTTCTAACTTTTTATGGATAATCTTTCTATTCATATCACATAAAGAAATGCGTTCAAGCATTTTGTAGGTTTTGATTTAATACCCTTACCTTTTTCATCAAAGGAATTTTCAGATCATTCTCTCTAACATTGGTCTCACATTTTCACTGTGATAATGAATACTTGAAATAGTTTTGTAAAGCTATCATTCTCTTCAGTGTTTAGTGAAGGGTCAATTATTCTCATTAGAAAAAATTAGTAGTTACTGACCTTCTTAATCAGACTTCTTACAGAAGCAGAATTTGAATATCAGTGCTATAGCTAATCCACTTCTATAGTAATCTGACATCCAGTCTTTTCAAAGCCACCTCTTACTCCAGAGTATGGCTATTCTTTCCTGTTTGTGCAGAGAGATCAGCTCCCCCCTTCTTTCTTTCTCTAGTGAATACAATGAAGAGCAATAGCTTGCACTCTCTATGGGCTTATTCTTTTCATTTGTCGCAGTGATTGCTGATGCAGACTAATGTTGCACATTAGTTACTTTGTGAGCTCGGGTTGGAAGCAAGGTCATGCAGACAGAGAGTGCCTTATCTGCAGAACTTCACTCACCTTAACGTTTACTTATTTTCAAATATGAAAGTTTCAAACCTATTACTTCAGTCAGTTTTTTAAGGATATAGTCAGCAAAAATATGCCTCTGCAAATGTTTGTGATATTTAAAGATGTTTCTAAGCTGCAAGCTGTTTGTTAATCATCAGATGTGATTTATGAAATGGGAAGTGATTTGTTAGGGTATTTGTTCTCTGTTTTGTCGAAAACCAAATCCTTTGAACGGTTTACAAAATTTGGAAATAATTGCCAGCTATTCATATATACACTCATAGCACATACATTATATATACTAAATAATGTTCTGTACTCTAGATTTCTGTTAGGAAATACACTTTTTTGTTACTTAATGATTAGGAACCAAATTCTTTAGCTGCATTGCCAGTGTGCAGATTTCCACATTCACCTTGGTTGATATTCTCCTCTAGGAGTCTTAAATGGTATATATTCTTCCTTAAATATATGCATTTAGTGATGCAGCTCACCACTGACTAAGCTAACCTTATTTTATATTGCTGCTAGCTTTTCATTTCAGAATAGTTACATTTTAAAGGGTTTGGTGCTTAAATATTGATGTGTGTCTTTGGTGACAGGCTCCAGACACCTGAATTCTGATTTTGTTTTTCCCCTCATCAAAGTTATATATCCATCTATATAAAGATATTGATATAGATATACACATACATGCATACATATGTGCATATATATAGTAGTAAGCAATATTCACACGGTATTTTTTATTCATAATAAAACACCTAAGTTACCATATTGTTAATAAAGGGAATCTTGAGGCTTTTACATTTTAATTCTAGAATTTCATAGCCAAAATATTCTTTTTCTTTTTTCTGGGACAGGAAATTGTTAACAAGGTGGATCATACACTCTTAATAACTTTTTAAACCACATGTATTTGCTAAAATTATTGAATTCTCAAAGCAGCGTAAGTCAAAGCACAGTGTTTACATGGCACCTTGTGACTTAATGTTTCAATACACTGTAAGTTTGGAGAGGAATTTCAGTTCTGTGCTCTCAGGAAATGTACTGTATTCCCCCATGTACCTTCATGCTACTTCTTGAAGCCTTTCTAAGCAGCTTTGGGAAAGTTATATCCGCACAGCAGTCTATCCACAAATATCTCTACCCTCTTGATGCAACAGAAACAGTAGTTGCATATGTATTTATATCCTTTTCATGTGATACAAAAATGTATATTATCTGGCGTATCATCTCTGCTTAACATTGTTTCTATTATAAGTGATACTCATGATTGATGACATAATTAATCACAGATTTCTCCTAATGAAGTGATACAGTTTAGTTCACTATCCTATAGATGCCAATATTAAGAAGGTACAACTGTTTCTCAGTGAAGACTCACTGAACTTGTAACTCAAGTCCCCACCTGAGTCCGTAGGAACCATCAGGCTTCATACCAGGAGTCTCCCTAGGTGTTGTGATCAAGGAAATTCATACTTCTCTCCTGGGAAGGGTCTAACATAACACATGTATTTATAATAACTGAAGATGGAAGGGCTTACAGTGGTGTTCAATAATTGGTGATAGGTAAAATATACACATACATGCATGTTCTTTGGGAAAACATTTTGTATGTGTATTCATAAATGCACTGTGGAATGAGTGTCCACATTCAGCATTCAGGGCATGGTTTTTTTACAACTAATGGCTATATGTATTTTTTCGTTTTCAAGTGTACAAATGCCTGTAGAAATGATGTCTCTGAACAAGTCATTTAACCTTTGCTAATGGAATATATTCGATGCCCTATAGTAGAATTTTCAACTTTGTTACTACTGTGCTTTTATTGTGCAGTTTCCGTTTTTGTGTTTTTAGATATCAGATGTCAAATACACCAGGAGTGTATGTTTTGGCTGACTTGATACAATTGCTGACCATAGCTCTCTAAAATAGAAATCATTATAAACCAAATAGGACTAAACCCTAGAGTCTGGAGTCTAGTAAAGTTATTTATACAAACTGTAAAAATTTTTCCTTTAAAAGGCCAAATTAGTTATTAAACATGTTTAGAAAAAAGCTCATTAGCGGTATAATCCAATAGCTGGACATTGATTATGACAAGGTACTACTCTGGCCAAAAATGATAATTTTGCCAGGCTTAGTAATACAAGCACTCAGGAGGCTGAAGCAGGGGGATTGCAAATTGGAGGCTAGCCTGCCTGCATGGTATAACAAGGTCCTGTCTCAAAAAACAAAAGAAGAAACAACAAGGGCGTGGGGTTATAACTTTGGTAGAGTGTGTGCCTGATTAACATGTGAGATCTGGGCTTAATCCCCAGCAACACTAGAAATGATCCTTATTTCAAAAATTAATTTAAAGTGATACTCATTTTTATGTAGAACAAGTATCATGACTTAGTGATTGAAGTTGATTGCCAAGGCCACCAAATTAGTTATAATTATTTTAAATGGGTAAATTCAAAATATAAAAAGTTTAAAAATGGCAAGAAAATAGCCATCTACTTATTTTTGTGTCTAATGAAAACAGTCCTTCATTATACAGAATTAGACTGGAGGACCTTACCTCCACAGTAACTAATCTTTATACTAAATAAGAAAAGGGCAGTCCTGAAGTTTTGTGCACATAAATAGTTCATTTTTTAAAAACATGTACATATATATATATACACACACACACACAAAGCTATGTGTATAATATGTAACTATCTCCCAAAAGTAATGAATGATAAAGCTAAATGTATTTGCCCACATGTTACAGCTAGTGTTCTAAGGCTTCTAATTACTTTCAAATTCCTAGACATTCTGATCTATTTTAGATTCTTTTAAGAAGCTTTGGCTCCACCTTGAAGCTGATGCTAATCTCCTTTCTGAAGACTTTACTAGAGAAACTAAGCCCGGAAAACTGTTTTTCATTATTAGAATTTAATTTCTGTAAGAAAAAAACATTTCTGGATGGAGGCCTCTTGGGAAATATTTACTTCAACTTTGAAGTGAAATTGTGCTATAAGTTAGACTTAAAGATTACAGTGCCTGTGCACCTCCTGTTCCAAGGGATTGCTGTGAGAATTCTTATAACATCTGGAATGTATTTGGAGTTCTTGGGAGAAATTCAGTATTTTAAATAATGAGATGATTGTATATAACAATATTATTCACAGATTTTTAAGAATACATTTGATGAATAATTCAGCATCATATTGGTCTTTTTGTAAGTATATATGATACACCTGAAGATGATAATTCTATAGTTTTTTAAGGTAAGGTTATTTTTAAATTGTATTTTTGTTTTAGCTTTAAAGTTATATTCTTTTAAAAATATTTCACATTTCATCTTGTTGCTTTGTATCCTGGAGTGACTTTTGAAAAATGCACAGAATCACACGTCCTTAGTGGACTAAAAAGCGAGCGAATGATGCTCTCTTTTCTAAGGTAAGCATGGTTGCACCACTTGGGCAAAACACTACAAGATTGTCTTAAAAAACAAAAAAAAAAAAAATCCAATAAAAAAAGAAAAAAAAGTGTGCTACTTCTGCTGACTAAGATCCTACCATGTGATTTTTAAGAACATTTAATTTCCCTCTACCTTCCACGTGTTGTGTGGGGCTAGGTTAATACCTGTCTTCATCTTCAGCTCTAAGGGATGACTTGTGATGGTGATGTGGTAAGCCTTCGAGAGTACTTATTAAATGTGTTCTCTTACCTGAGGTTGCTTCTCCTTCAGTCCCTGTAAAGTCACCTCTTTCTAAGGTGAAGGAGCAGATGGTGAACTGTTCGGGAAGCCATCCCCAGGGTTAAGAGAGCTCCTTGACTGAGCTGCAGTCTGGAAGACAGTCGGCCTTCCGGTGGTCCTAACCTAGGAGCCCCATTAGACTCCCAGTCCAGGTCCCTAGCTGCTAAGCAAGTCGTTCCCTAATCACACAGATTTGACATCCTCTGATGTTTACATCAGAGCATCCTGAAGCTGCTCTTCCTTATCCTTGTGCCTAAAATTTACACTGCAACCTGGTTTTACCCATAGTGTGAAGCTTAATGGGCACCTATATCTTTATTAGAAAAAAATACTTAACAGTTACATCCAATTAGTGGACCCCAAATCCAGAAAATACTTCTTTCTCTTTCTAATTGCTTATTGTCTTGTGGCTGGTGACACAGTGATGTGAAAACTGACAACCTCAGGACACAGGTCAGAATGGCCACTTTTATTGTTTTTATATTTACTTTGTTGTTTTTTAATCACTCACACAAACTGAATTAACACATCGATAGTTAAGATAAATGGCACTTATAACTTGGAAGTTGACCATTTATTTCTTATATATAAAACTACCACTTTTTTAGTCTCCTGCAATAAATAATCGTTACTACCACAGAGCAGAGATGTCCTGGGGCATAAGTATAGGACTTTGCATGTGCTGCGCATGCTCCAATACTGAGCAGTAGTCCCAGCCTTCATTTCAAAAGTCTGAAATAGTTGCCTTTATTACAATTGAGCCAAGGCAAACTGAATAGGCAGTATATACATAAATGTGATAGGCCACACCTCAAAACTAGCTTCCCTCCTCTACTAGGCAAGGTTGCCTGAGAACTTAGAGGAAACTTAAAACTAGTCAAGAAGAAAGAAAGATCACAACATTAAAAACTGTTCAGTTGGGGAGGGTAGGGGCTTAGAGATAGGGTGCTTTGCAAGTTTTGTGTACACGTGGTCCTAGGCACATCTAACACCCTAGAAACAAACAAAAACCCTTCTCAGCTATCAATTGCATTGAGCCAGAAGCCTTACCAGTTAAGACATGATTACATCTTATGTCAGAGAGCTAGTTAATGGTAGCACTGCTAGTAAGCGTGGTCCAAGTGAGAAATACCTTAGTCTTTACAGGTAGAGCCAGTTAGATGCTGTATTGTTATAGAATGAACATGCCTTCGCAGTGAGAACTCACTCCAAGCACATAGAAATTAATAGAGGAAAAAATCCTCTAATAGCATGTGCCTGGTTCTGGTTAATGCACAAAGGGAAAGCAGCCTCAAATAGGAAATTGTACCTGTCTTGAAAAAAAAATTCTTTCAGTCCTGGCCCCAGATTACACTTGAACAATTTAAAGAGGCAGGAGTCTGTAAGTCTAGCAGGTGGGCAAATGGGAGATTGACACAGCAAAGATAGACCAGTGTTGTCTGGGGTGCTTGTTATCCAGGGTCACCTTGCCCACTTGGCAGAACTATGATAAAAGAACAGAGACCTAAGGGCAGGCAGATCAGGACTTAATGATGACTGTCACCCTGTGCCACTCACTTGACTTGCCGCCCTAGAGACACGCGTATTCTGGTATGGGGATGGGTCTCACAGCTGGTCAGTCTTAGTGAACCGTCTCAGGAGTCCTAAACTCCAGTTATGTTTAAGGAACAAAATGTTCTTTCCTGCCATTTCTGACAAGCCTGGTTAGCACACAGCTTATCTCCCAGTTCCTGTGGAGGTGGCCCTCCCTAGCTAAGTCCTGCTTTGTAACTTAATATCTCCTGAGCAAGTTTATTAGTAAGTCCTTTATAACATGGCTGCTGTTAGTTCATGTTTCTCCTACATCAATAGCTCATATGTATCTGAACATGAAATGCAAAGTAGATGATTGTTTTCACTGTATGCTATCTTATAAAAATTGATGCTGGTTTCTTATTTCTTCAGTAACACTGGTTTTTTGTTGTTTTATGTGGTTTTTTGTTTTGTTTTTTAAGTGATATCTTGCACAAAAAAAAATGAGCAATATTGTTGTCTTAGTTAGGCTTGCTATTGCTATGATGAAGCACCATGACCAAAGCAGCTTGGGGAGAAAAGGTTTATTTGGCTTACACTTCCACATCACGGTTCATCATTGAAGGAAGTCTGGACAGGAGCTCAAGCAGGGCAGGAACTTGGAGGCAGGAGCTGATTGATGCAGAGGCCATGGAAGAACTCTGTTTACTTGTTCCCCATGGCTTGTTCAGCCTACTCTCTTATAGAACCCAGGACCACCAGCCCAGGGCTGGCACCATCCACAGTGAGCGGGGTCCTCCCCCATCAATCTCTAATTAAGAAAATGCCCTATAGGCTTGCCTGCAGCCTGATCTTATGGAGGCATTTTCTCAGTTGGGGTTCCCTCCTCTCAGATGACTAGCCTGTGTCAAGTTGACATAAAATGAGCCAGCACAAGTGTTCAGTAACAAATGAAATTTTCTGCAAGCTTTTTTGAATTGTCAGAACCCACAAAGACCATTTGATGTGAATGACTTGCTGTGGAAACTTTTTGTCTCTCCACCCCCAGTTCATTTTTGCATACCTTTCCTCCTAACACAAACACATGCTCTTTTTAACCCCACCCTCTTTAGCAACTGTAAGGAGTTTTCAGTAGAAGACAACATGCTTATAAAAGTCGAAGCTTGCCAAGCTGCTTAAGGAACTTTCTGATGAAAAGGTTTAAAAAGAAAAGTTAAGCACCCCTGCTTTCTAGATATCTGCATTACTAGTTTCTGCAAAGAGAAACATCACTGCTGTCCTTGTATACATTAATTTCCTATAATAGAGTAAGTACTGATGTTTCAGAAACTCACTATAAATCTTTCAACATATTTCCACATACAGTTAAAAATTATTACAGTGTTCAGTTTGTGAGATTACATATTCCTGATAAAATGTTTTTGTGCATTTAAAGAAATACTTGTTGGAAAAATTGGTAATGTTTCATTTACAGGTAGAACTAAGAGATAAAACTACAGGATTTTTGCATTAGCTTTGATTTAAATGGATTTTTAAGTCCTTGATGTAAATTTTTCCCACGTAAATAAATTTTCACCTGCCTCTACTTTTCACCCAAGATTCCCTTTGCTGCTGTTTCTATTCTGGCTGGTGCATGATGGTGGCTTTCATAGAAAAGGATTTCAGAGTTGGGAAAGATTAAAATACAGGATCAAAGAAACAAAGACTCTGCTTAGACAGCATATGAGTCCCTCTGGCCACTTCCCATCTGCCCAGGAGAGAGAAATCCTGTGTTTCAGCAAGCAGCCCTGCTGTGGGTTGCAGCTTCACACCAGGCCTGCAGGAAGAGGGCAGGCACCCACCGAAACAGCAGTGTGGCTTTGGGCAGCAGGAAGCCTTTCCAGAAGTGCCCTTTGTAGCTTTCCCATGCTGGGTTCTAGGATTCCATACCTCGTGTTCAGGAACATGCTACTTTAGGATGTTTCTGGTGTCTCCAGAAAAAAAATTGTTTGTTTTTTCCCATTCTTTGTGTGTGTGTGTGTGTGTGTGTGTGTGTGTGTGTGTGTGTGTGTGTGTGCGCGCGCGTGTGCTCATATGTGCACGTAGAGGCTAGAGAGGTCTTCCTCTTTTGTTCTCCAGGATTTTTGTTTTTTTCCCCATTGTTTGTGTGTGTGCGCGTGTGTTCACGTGCACATAGAGGGTAGAGATGTCTTTCTGGTATCTCTGCCTTCCAGTGATGGTATCACAGAGGTGATCACAGTGCCTGGCAATCTACATAGGTGCCAGAGACCCAACTGAGGTTCCCATGCTTGACCAACAATCACTTACCCTTTCATGTTTTCTATTTTATATGACCCATCATTGGAAGGATAATATAAAACTCCAACCAGAATATAAAGGTAAGGAAGTAACTCTTTTTGCCTTTTGTCCCAATCTCAAAAGTCCCTGAATTGCAATGCACCACTGCTAGGTTTCCCCTGAATTCTAGACATGCATTCCCATGCCCATACATGTGTGTTTTCCGCCTGTAGATTCATGTATGTTCTGTTCATAGCTTGCTCTTCATGTCTTAGGTCAGAAATAATTGAGTCACAGTACCAACTACTCACAACTACACACATTTGCATTTCCTTCCTAATTTATGATCAGTTTATTTCTGAGCAGTGCTGCTGGTACAACTTTAGCCCTGTAAAAGAGAGCTGCGTGAGGTGGAGTCTCATTTTATTTCATTTTTGTTACTCTTCCTTAGAATCTGAAGGGACCGCATGGGCGAAGTGGAGATGGAAACTACATGCTAACATGCATCTCCCTGCTGCTTCTGCCCAGAGGCATTGAATCTGATCTATAGTAACAAATACTTTCAGTGGAATCGGGAGGCTTGGGGAGACTATCCAAAACTGCTGAAGCAGAAGGACATCAAAACAGAATAGCAAACTTTACATAGTTCAGAATTTCCTTTGATAGAAATTGCAACATGTGACAAATTCCCAGAATGCACTGGAATTGTTCTAAACATAGTATGTTCATCAAAGCGTAACAAAGTCAAATAAAAGGAATTCATCTAAATCCCCACATTGAGGTGGGTAAAGTCAGATGACCTTAATATAATATTGTTTCATATACTCTGGTAGCATTTAAAGTTTCCCAGTCATCAAGTAATGTACAGCATGTCTGAAAGAAGAGAAATTGCTTTCCTGTAGCATTCATAGCCTAAGATGAATGTTGAGGTCTCAGACTCTCCTGTTTTTGTATAACAGGAGTGAGTGGAAAATAAAGTGACCGATGAGTTGAGTACAAAGCCCTTGACACTTCCCTCAATGACACAGATGTTGGAATCTACCATGGTTACCAGGGGTCACTGTTTATTGGCACACCAAGCCTCTGATGAAAATAAACCATTCACAATGCTTGCAGACATTCAGTGTGGAAAGTCACCACTCTTAGCCCAAAATCCTAAAGTATTTTCTCAGTTCTAAAAAGTACCCAGCCTTGGCCAGTAGCACATACTTCTGACAGGCAAAGACATTATTCGTGTTCTTTGCTTAGAGTGCAAAGCCCACTTAGAGTGATATGAAGAATTAGTGGGAAGATGCAGGAGTCCTTCAGGATGGTGGCTTTAATGGACAACTGCATCCTCTCCAGGGCAATGTCGGCAGAGGCAAACAAACGCTGCACAATCTCAAACTTCTCAGTATCTCTCAGGGGAGCCAAGGTGGGGTCTTCAAAATCACATACTCTGTCATCAGACAGAGTGTCGAGCTGAAATGACAAATTTAAACAAACTTCAAAATGTCCCAGAAAATCCAATTAGATTATTTTTTTAAAGTCTCCCAAATAGGACAGTAAAACCATTAAATGTAGCAAGATACATGTTTCTTCACGCTAAGACCTTAGTTAGGCCTGTTTTTCCATGCCTGTATCCCTGTCTGAATCCCCATTGTGTTACACCTTCTAGACCCATTAGCCCAGTAGACTAGAGAAATCATCATGTGCCTTTTGTATGCCACATACAAGGATTCATCTGGCTTTACTGATAAACGTGTACATTTTTATGGGCTGTATTAGAGTAATTATATATATATAATCTGTAATAAAAAATCAGGGCAATAAGATACACTTCTAATTATTGTGAAATATGGGTGGTTTATCTGTTACCTACTGTGTTAAAGAAGATCCAGAAGTATCCTTCCTGTCCGTGGTTTGAAGCTCATTAGAACTCCACCCACCCTCCCCACTGCTTGTCTGAATCTAGTGGTCACTATTCTACTCTGTTCTTCTAAGAGTTTGACTTAGTATTTCCACAAATGCATGAGAGTGTGTGTCCTGTGTCTGGCCTGTTTCATTCAACAATGACCTCCAGTTTCAGCCATGTTGCTGCCAATAAATAACGTGGTTTCATTTCTTACAAGTGAATAATATTCCACTGTACATTTATCTACATGTTCTTTGGCCTTCATCTACTGAGGAGCATCAGGGCTATTTTCACATTTTAGCTATGTGAATAGGCTCAACAAACATGGGAGTGCACATCTATGATATTTCATCTTCAGATAGACATGGGAACGTTCACAATTTCAGCCATTTTTAGTGTCTGGAGGATTGTTTTGTTTTCTATAATGGCTGTACTAACTACATTCTTTCCAATAGTATGTAAGAGTTTACCTTTTTCTATATCTTCTCTAGCATTTCTTATATCTTTTTATGATAGTTATTTTAATGAGGGTGACATGCTACTTCTTTGCAATTTTGATTTGTGTTTCCATGGTGATCAGAGAGACAGCATTTTTTTTTTCATGTACTAGCAATTTGTCTATCTTTTGAGAAGTATCCATTTAGGTTTTTAGCTCATTTTTAAATTGGATTGTTTTTATGGCATTATGGCCTTTTGAGTTTCTAGTATTTTCCAAATGAATCCCTTATCAGAAGATGGTTTGTAAATACTTTTCTCATGGTGTGTTATATTTTGCTATTGCTGTTGAGTTCAGTTGAGAATATTTGTATGTGAGTCTGTGGCTATCTTCTTGTCTCCTCTGGGTATCTAGAGAATGCATTCCTCCAGTTTCAACTTCTAAACCATGGAAGCAGCATTGGCATTAGCTCTTGGTTCATTGTTTTTGTAAATTTCAGCAGTGACGTCACCAAGTCCTGTACCATCTTTAGGAATATCACTTATTGTTTCCATCTCATTATTGGTCTATTTAGATTTTGTATTTCTCTTGATTCACTTCTGAGTTAACTCTGTTGTAGGTTTTCCAGTTGTGTAGCATTGTGGTTGTTGTAGTCATTCCTTGTGATCCTGTGTTTCTGTGGTGGTGTGCGATGTCTCCTTTCAGTCTACCCTACTGCCACCGACACAGCCTGATTTGACAATTTTACTTTCCTTTCAAAACCCCCAGTTGTTTCATTGGTTTTTGTGGGGTTTTTGTTTTGTTGAGCAAGGGTCTCAATTTGTATCGCTGGCTGTTTTGTAACTCACTGTGTAGATCAGGCTGGCCTGGAAAGTACAGAGATCCTCCTGCCTCTGCCTCCATTGGGGTTAAAGGTGTGTATCACCACACCCAACTCTTCTGTATTTTTAAGTTTTGATTTTCTGCTAAGATTTGGGTTTTGGTTTGTCCTTGTTTTTCTACCTCCTTGAGATGCAGCGGTTGGTCAGTTGCCTTAGATCTTTCTGTTGTCTGATGGATGCTGTTACTATTTGAAAGTTCCCTTTCACTGCTGTGTTTGCTGTGGATCATGGGTCTTGTTGAGTTCCTTGATTTCTTTCTAGAATTTCTCTGGTTATCTATTAGTCACTAGGAACATGTATTTTTATAATTTCTGTTCTTGGTTTCTTTTTTAAGTTTTATTCCCTTGTGACCTACAAAGATACATAATATGCTTACTTCCTGTGCTGACCATGGACTTCAGGGTAGAAATACAGTGAGGTCGTGAGTTAACTGACAGGTGACAAGGTTAGGGTGTGTGTGTGGATAGCTGGATTTAGAAAGAAGAGATGAGCATGATTGTGCCTTTATTTTTTTTATAAGAGAGATTCCTAGAGCATGTGTCTTCAGGGGTAATAATGGTTTCTAAAAAATATTTTTAAAGGAACAGAATTAAGCATGAATTAGCTCTTAAGTAGAAACTATAAAGTAATGGCTGAATTATAGTGGCACCAGCTAGCACCTCCATCATTTTCAATGGTTTTATAAAGACAAAACAAACAAACAAAAAACCTCTTCGAGACTAAACTGCTGTGAAAAAAAGACTTAGTTTAGCTACATTGATTTCTTTTTTCAGTTAAAAATCTGAGTACTTTGGCCCTTTGATTTAATGTGGTGTAAAACTGCAGTGTACAAAAAGGTTTAGTTATCAGTGTATTGTATCTAATGATTCATTTGTAGCCATAGACTCTAAGGCAGTAGTTCTCAACCTTTGGCTCTAACGAAACAGTTCTCAACCTATGGGTCGAGACCCCACAGGAGGTTGCATATCAAATATTTACATTACAATTCATAACAGTAGTAAAGTTAGTAATGAAGAAACAACAAGATAATGTTATGGTTGGGGGTCACAACAACATGAGGCACTGTATTAAAGGGTTGTAGCATTAGGGGGGTTGAGAACCACTGCTAAGGCCTTTATTCAGAAACTAACCCATGAGGGCTGGAGAGGTGGCTCAGCAGTTAAGCACACTTCGTTCTTGAAGAGGACCCTTGGTTCCTAGTACCCACATGGTGCCTCCTGAGCCAAAGGGACCATTGAGGGAATCCGGCATACATATGCTGTATATAGACACATGCAGACAACACAGTCATCAGATGAAGACATTTTAAAAAAGAAAACTAGCAGAAAGATTTACCCTGAATTATGTCTTGGGGGCAGGAGTGACCACTGACTCAGGCTTTAGAGCACTAATAAAGTTCTACTGAATTCAAAACTGAGCAGATGGGTGCTGCAGCATGTGGCTAATGTGCAGATAATAAGGCTAATGGAGGGTAGTAAGCCATGGGGTAAAAGATTGCACACTATGGACGCAGACCAGCTTTAGCTTAGAGGAGGGTGAAACAGAGTGGGTTATGAAGAAACTTCTTCCTCTTCAAGACAGTCGTTTCTAAGAGTGCACCCATAAAATAACATGTGTCCCTCAGAATTGTTTGGCTGGTTTATATATCATGTCTGACATCCCCTGTCGGTGCCTTGGCTTCATCAAATCCTTTACCACTGCAAGAACCCTGAGTACCCTTTCCCTGAATTTGATTCTCAGCCTGTCTGTCTGTCTTGTGCCCTTTCTTATTCCTGATATAACAGGGTTGAATGTGGATAACTGGTTATTCTTGATTTCTTTTGTAATCTTCAAATTTAAAGAAATTGCATTGAGACTTATTTGTGGCCTAACATGCTCTAAGTCTTGAGTAGTGCATGTTCTGGTAAGAATGAGTTTGCTGCTAGTGCTGATGGTTAAGCTGCCCTGTAACTGCCAACACTCACTTGTAGACTGAGGTGTTTAAATTCGTGTTTAAATGTGCTGCCCATGGTGGAAAAAGAAGGGACGTCCCTGACTGCACCTGTGTTCATCTCTGCTTTCACATCCATGGTTGTTTTGGCTATGGGATTGGTAATGTTGGATCCATATATATTTGCACTTCTGCACCTGGTTGCTGAACTGATCTATTTAAGAATATTTAGTGGTTGCATTCTCTCTCTAGTTTTTCATTTCAAGTCCACTTTACCCTATGATAATATGAGTATAACTCCTGCTTGCTTTTGTTTTCCATTTGGGTGCTTTATTTCCCCCATCCTTTTTAATACACTGTCTTAGCTAGAAGAGACACCATGACCAAGGCAATTCTTATAAAGGAGAACATTTAACTGGGGTGGCTTACAGTTCAGAGGTTTAGTGCATTGTCATCATGGTGGGACATGGCAGTGTGCAGGCAGACACGGTGCTGGAGAAGGAACTGAGAGTTCTACATCTTGATCCACAGGCAGCAGAAGCAACTGTGTACCACACTAGGCACAGCGTGAGCACAGGAGACCTCAAAGCACGCCCCCACAGTGACACACTTCCTCCAACAAGCCCACACCTCCTAATAGTGCCACTCCCTATGGGCCAAGCATTCAAATACGAGTCAGTCTATGGGGACCATACCTGTTTAATCCACCACATACACATACATCCGTAAATGGATTTCTTGTGTCTGTGGACAGCATATAGTTGAATCTGGTGGATGGTACTTTTGTTTTTTTGAGATAGGACTCATGCAGCCCAGACTGCCCTTAAACTTTACATGTAATTGAAGATGCCTCCACATCCCAGTTTCTAGGATTATAAGCATTCACCACCATGCCCAGCTCTTTCTTACTGTTTTTTTTTTCACTTATTCAGCTAGTCTATTAGTTGGTGAATTTAATTAATTTATATTCCATGTCATGTTGCATAATTTTTCTTGTTTTGTACAGATTTGTTTGCCTGTCACTTTTGTGATTTGGGGATGCACTGTCATGCCGAGGTTTTAGTGTTACTCCTTCCTTTCATGTGTCTGTTTTGCTAGTGGGGTTTATATATCACATACTTTGAAAGATAGGCACCTAATCTTTGTAGTGTGGTATTTACTCCCATTAGTATTTTTTACAGCGCTGGTCCCGTGGTCCTGAATTCCCTTGGTCTCTGCTTGTGTGGCACCATCTTTGCCCTCTGCACCTTTGAAGGCTAAGGTTTCCTGGCTGACAGTTACTTTGTCAGTATTTAGAGCAGACCATGCTGTCTCCTTCCATCCAGGGCATCCCTTGCATGACTTGTTTTGCTTTTCCTTCTCTCATGATTTTGATGTGTCGACTAGACTGTGCCTTGGTGAGGACATCCTCTGCTTATTAATTTAGTTGGGGTCTTTTAAGTTCTGGTGTGTAGATATCTGTCTCTCTGAAGATTTGAGAAGTTTTCAGCTATTGTTTCAGGGAACTAGTTCTTAAATGACTCTTTTCCTTCCCCTCTGGAATCCCCACAGTGCAAATAGTTGTTCACATAATTCTGTCCTAGGTGTCTTGTAGCTTTTCTCCATTCCCCACGCCAGCCCCCCTGTCTTACTGAAGTAATTGGAAGCATTATCCTTAGGTTCTGCCATGTTTCCTTGCGCTGCTTCCTGCCTGGTGTCAGAGCTTTGTGTGTTTTATTGCGCTGACTGGATATGTTAGCTCCAGAATTAAGAGTCTTTGTTAGTTTTTTTAAGTAAGATTTCTAAGTTTTAATTTGTCATTTATATCCTGAACTATTTTTTTCTTCTCTGTATTATTTTGTTTATATTCTCTTGGAGCTCATTAATGTTTTCTTGGGACCGTTACTGTAAACTCTCTTCAGACTTCCTTCTAAGAGATTATTTTTAGAGAGCAGCTACTCTCTTTGGCTTGTTCTCTGCATCCTGTACATCTGTGGAACATCCAATATTTTGAAGCACTTCCTGCAGGAATTTTTGTTGATTTAAATGTCAGCTGGATGGATAGTCAGGCTTCAGTTACACATGAGCTCAAAGGTGTAGCTGCCATGCAGTGCCTCATTTGGCTCCCATCGTTAGGGCCTGGGGTGCAGCAACAGTCCTAACCACAGTAGTTCATGAAGGTAGCTGTAGGGCTTTGCCCTGAGTACAGGTTTCCAAGAGTGCATTCTGTTGCTGTGGACTCGCTGGTATGAGATGCAGAAAGAACTGTCCCCTGGTCTGTACAGGGGAGCATAGATCATACCAAGAGTTGTGGGAGATGCTTGGGTCTGTCATACCAACGCCCACAATTCTAGAGCCGCAGGCTGGAACCATCTCCTTTCTCCAGGTCTTACCAGATAAATATCTCTGGGAGCCATGGAACTTAAGGTTTTGAAACATAATGGAGCCCTTCCCTAGTCCCATGGGGGTGATTAAAGTTGCTGGGGCTTTATAACTACTTTTAGTGGAGATGTGGGATCCAGACAGTACCTCCTTCAGGATCTAAGACATAAGCACAAGTTTTACTCAGTACCAGCAGCCCTAACCCAAAGTCAGTGGACTATGGAAGACAAGTTCCTTGGGTCTTCCCAATAGTTCTGGTTTCCATGCTTGGAGGTACAGAGCATGAGGGAGAATTCCTCTTTGTGTCGTGGGTTAATGTGAGTGGTGTGCAAGCCTGTCCTTTGGTGTCTGCGGTCTGGCTGCAAGGCCAGGGTGGAAATATACCTATATCATGCAAAGAATAAGTAATGGAGAGGCTAATACTTCTGACATTGTTTGCCATGAAGCTGAAGACCACAGATGTGATCCCAGCTACAAGCCTGAGTGGTGCTGAGGCGTTTTGCACCATCAGCTACAGTTCCAAAACTGTAGGCACAAAAGTTCCCTAGTGCCCCCTGTGGGTAGGTGCAGGTTGGGGCCCTGATCACTGGAATCTTGGAGCTGCAGGACCTGACTGGGAACTTGGCTAGCTCCTGGTAGACAGGTGCAAATGAAGCTAGGGCTTCACAGAGCAGCTACAGCCCCACAGCCTCCAAGTTGTAGGCTGAGGAGGAGATGGCTGCCACGCATACAACTATGGTACTTCAGAGCCTGAAGTAGCCAAATGCAGAGCGCACTGCCATCCACCCACTGTGGGCACAGGACCCAAGGTCTGTTACAAGGTAAGAGCCCTGCTGATTATGAGAGGCCCAGCTCAGGTGACCGCCTTCTTTGGAGCCCTGTTTACCCAAGCCAGTTACTCAAAGTGGACATAAAGCTGCAAGGTCTCTGGCTTGGGCAGGTAGAGTTGCAGGCTTGTAGAACAGTGAGGCCTGCAGCCATTTCCATTCTTCCTCGGGCAGCAGCAGGGTTAGTGACGGGCAGGGCACATACAACAGGCACTTCCCACGAGGTGTAATGTTCCAGTCACTTTTTTCTAATTGTAGAGTTCTGCAATACACTGTTTGTTTGTTTGTTTGTTTGTTTGTTTGTTTGTTTGTTTGTTTTGTACTCTGGGGCAGGTATGCACTCACCACTTGGCCATTGGTGGTTTTGTTTATTACTGTAAATGGCAATATTAGAATTTCTTAGATATTTGGATGAACTCAAGTGTAGGCACTGTCATTTGTTAATTGTGTTTCCTGCTTCAAGAATCTTTGCCCTTGCTGTTCTCTATCCTTTGGGGATGTTTTCTAGATTTCTCTAATGATCAAATCTACCCTCTTACCAGTTCACAGCACATGGTTAGTATATCTGACACTGTTTGCCCAAAACCCTTAAAGAAGATTTCAGAGTTACCTGGGCCTTCAAACAGGGCTGCAGATCGACTGTGTGCCCTTTTCTAGGTAAGTCACTGTAAGAAGTACACAATGCTCCACGCTTGCAGGAGCCTGGCTCTTCTAAAGAGAGCAGTGGGAAATCTACAGAGATTACCTGAGAAACCTAGGAAGATCTTCCTTTAAAGAAACCTGTTTTGTCTGCTGAGCAGCCTCCAAAAAGCAGGCAGGTGCATCTGCAGGCATCAGGAGTCCATCCATTTTGGAACTGGTTCATTGCTGGTCATGGGACATCAGCCAAAGTCAGAGCCAGAGCCAGAGCTGACTGCAAAGGGGTGCTAAGTGAGTTCATTAGGGCCTGGCTCCCATAGCACAAGTTTCTCTTTGTGTACTTCCTGAATGGCTTTAATTAGTCCCTAAATACTCAAGAAACAGACTTTGGAAGTGCTGAGCACTCTCTGCTGCAAGAGGGAACAGAGCTGTTTTGCTCATCATCTCATACAATTAGGACAATTATATCATTTCTATAATCAAACTACACCAGCAGCCATCACCCTCAGCTGGTCTGAGATATGGTGGCATGCTTCCAAGTAGTTGAGTATACCCTGGGGCACAGAATCTGGTCGATTCTGATGGCACCTGCCCAGCTGTGTGATAAGATAGTGCTCTTGACTTCTGACACATCCTCCATGCAGAACAACATCCAAGACCATGTACATGGTTTGGTATTCCCAGAGGACATGCAGAACGAAGGCCTGTCTAGGCAGTCTGCATCGCCAGCTTTGCTCTATAGGGTAACAGTGGAGCCAACACAGACTGTGAGAGGAGCTGCCTCTGGGCATTCTGGGGCAGCCTGTTGCTGGTCCCTCTGCTAACTGCCCTCTCTGTAACGAGAACTTAGCTCCACTCTGGGGCTAGACTCATTACTGATCACTTGCTCTTGCAGTGATATTTCCAGAGAGCACCAAGCTGCTGATATTGTAAGAGGATGGAAGAAGCTATGTCTCCTCCAGACAGCAGCCCTCAGTGCTTCCTGGCAAATCTGACACAAGGCAGCTTCAAACCATCCCACACACTGCAGTGACCAACAAGAGAGTGTTGGGCCTCACAGTACTGAGCTATGGCCAAGTCTCCAAACTGGGGAAAGCACATGATTTGGAGTCTGCACACTGGGCTGCTTTGCTAGCCAGTTCATTGAACACTTTGTTCTGGACCTCAGACATCCCACAGCACCCATGTGATAATGCTAACACGTGCTTACACTGTCTCAAGCTGAGAAACTAGAGGTGTTTCACCAGCTGGATAGCCTTTGTCCCTCCTCATCCCCGTTCCTTTCCACCCCACTGTCCCATCTGAAGGTTCCTTACCAGGTGACGCAGCATACGAATAATGTGGAGTTTACAGCATGTCCCCAGGAGAATTGTGGCATTATCTGGCATTTCTGTAGAAGACATGCATTGTGGTCATGGTCACTGTCAAAAACAAGTTTGTGGATGCCAAGCATGGTGATGCATGCCTATAAACTCATCATTTGAGAGGTTAGGCAGAAGAATCACAAGTTTGAGGCAAGCCTGAACTATGCAGTGAGTCCTTGTATTAAAAAGCACATTTCATCCATCCCTAGGTGCCCAATTTACATTTCATTACCTTGCTACAACCAGTTAGAGAAAGTAAATGTGTGACCAGGCCAGGTGTGGTGGCATACCCTTAATCCCAGCACTTGGGAGGCAGAAACAGGCAGTCTCTGGGTTCTAGGTCAGCCAGAGCTCCACACTCTCAGAAACAAAAGAGTGTGGTCACATTTGAAGTGCTGGTTTTCTGTGGGATCTTCCAGAGAATCTAGTCACCAGAGCATGCTCGTTGACATCAAATTTGCTAGCCAGAAAGAAGGGCATGGGCTCTGGGAAAGAATAATTGGCTCAAAAAAGCAGTGCTGGAGTGGTTAGAGCACTTCCAGGTAACTAGGCTGGAGCTTGTTTTGTTTCTGGTTTTCTAAGACGTTCTTGCTATGTGACCCAGCATAGCCTCGAATTTGCAGTAACCCTGCCTCTTCCAAGTACAGGGATTGACAGGCGTGTAAATATATAACATGTAAGGCCATAGCTCGGTGTGCTTCTAGAAGCTGTCCATTTGACACACTAGAGGGCACCACACAAACAAACCAGTCCCTTTGGGAAAGAAAGCTCCAAGAGGACTAATTGTGACACAACAAAGTTGAGTCAGAATTGTGAGACGCTAGGGCTACACCAGAGGGACCTGCCAGCTCCTGGCCCTGCCAAAGGGAATCCAAGTCAGTGTCCTTCAAGCCTCTATACAATACCTCCCAGTAAAAAACAGCTCCAAAAATGACCCTGACCCCCAGGGCATGACCTTGGAGCTGCTAAGTCACCTGGTATAGTGACTACTGATGAACTTCATGACCACCTACATCTGTTAGCTGTATTAAAGATGAAGTGTCACTGAGGCTGTGACCCAGAGAGGACAAAAGGATATGGCCATCCCCAAAATTTGAAGGCTGCTGAAGGAAGGGGCAACCCTGTTAGGTGATCCCATCAGAACCCCAACACAACCTTCTAGTGTGGTCATGCCTTTGCCTCTGAGAAGGCTCACAGTTTTCTGTGTCCTCGAGGAGGCCTGCACCCCACTCCACGAAGATGGGGATGGAAAGCACAGGGCTGAGAAGGGTCCACCAAGCACTGATACACTTCAACCCCTTCACCTTCCAGGGTGCCTCCTGCTTCACTCAGTTAGCACTGCATCCCTCATCCCTAGAGATGCTTACCCCAAGTTGTTAGCACAACACAAAGAAGCTGGATGCAGGGGAAGCTTGAGGTGTAGCTAGTGTCTATATCAACCCTGCCCTTTCCATCGGAGCTGTGATCTCATTATAATAGCCACTGCAGAGGTTGACTGATTTAAAGCTTTTGGTAGTATTCTCGTCAACCCTGGACCCTTCCTTGGCCAACGCTTTGCAGACAGCATGGTATTCTAAGATCTGGGGATAGTGCTGGAACAGAAAGTGGTCCTCTTGGGCCCTGACGGTGTTATTTGGCTTTATCCTGCTTGGCTGCTTCTGGTACTGCAGTCTCCCGTCTCCTGGAGAGCTTCCCTGCCTGTGTGACTATGAGCAAATCCCAGCTCTCAATGCCACAGAACCTCCTTTGTAACCGACTCACTTTTTCTGGACTCCCTGGGCAGCCTTACACTGTCTTTGTTCCCTGGGCCTTTCCCTCTGTAGTGCTGGAAGAAAATGCCTGTATGAGGACACAGTGCCTATTAGCATGCGTTGGAGGGAAGTTGGTCCTCCGAGGATGGGATGTGGCTACAGCTGCTTCACAGGGCACCACCAGCCTTCCTTCATGATGGTCTCCACTTGACAGTAACCAAAATCCACTCCCCCTGGAAAGCCATTTTAAGACCTGCTGGGGGATGTCTTTCTGTACGCTGTGAATATATGTTGTTCCCATTGGTTAATAAATAAGCTGCTTTGGCCTAGGGTAAGGCAGCTTAGAGGCAGGTGGGAAATCCAAGGAGAGAGACAGGAAAGAGAAAGGAAGAGTCTGGAGAGACCCTAGCCTGCCTCCCAAGGAGCAACATGCCAGCAGACTAGTAATGCCACAGCCATGTAGCAAAACATAGATTAATAGAAATGGGTTAATTTAAGATGATAGAGCTAGCTAGCAAGAAACTTAAGCTATTGGCCATCCAGTTTGTAATTAATATAAGCCTGCGAGATTATTTTTATTAGTAGCTGTGGAAGACCTATGCAGAAGCCCAGCTATAGCCTGCCTCCTTGCCTTGCGTATCACACAGCACACACTCTGAACCCTGAGAGTACCATGAGGTGGAGCACAAGTGTGCAGAGAGGAAGGAGAGGTCAGGACAAACAGCTGCCAGGAGAAAGTGCCTGCAGTACAGCCTGTGTGGACCCTGGTGTAGCTCACAGGCTGTATTTGAAAAGGACTTCGGGGGAGGGGACCAGAAGGTAGTCCTCCCTGAGTAGGACAGACATACAGGCAGGACTCCACTGACCTTCCACTCTTACCCTCAGGACTGAAAAGGAGAGAAAGCACCTTTGGTCATCATTGCTTCTGTGTCCCAGAAGCACATACAGAAAGCAATACCATTTCCCAGCCGTGGCAAAGGTTGCCCTGTTCTTTTTTGTCTTGGTTTCCATACCTGCTAGTGCACTGACCAGGAAGTAGGCTGTTGCAAAGAGCTTCTGGTTGCTGACCTCGTCCTTCGGGCCAGGATGCTCACCCTGTACCCTGCACCCCACCAGCTGCAGGAAGGCTGTGAGGTCCTGCTGCTGACTGTCTGTTAGCTCCTTCATCGCCAATATAGCCTGCGAGGACCAGAGGCCACCGGCCATATCATCACACTACAGTGCAGAACGGGGAGAAAGGCCACGGTGAAGCAGAACCCACTCAAGTACAAGCAGCTGGGCCTCTGTCCTCCCCCAACCTTCCCAACACTCCGTGCACGTCACCTTCCCCAGGGAAAGCAAGCACTGAGCCCTTGTCTGTGCTGTGACGCTAGCTATGGGCCTAAATGTCCTCCAAAGGACACACTAAGCTGAGCCTTGCCCAAGTACTATCCAAGGAAAGGGGGGAGAGTCATGCAGGAAATGTTGGGCAGAGAGAACCTTCCAGACCAAGCCAGGTTATGGAGTTTTACCAGAAACAGGGACAAGTAGCTACATACCAAACTGATGAATGGGACATGAAAGCAGCATCCTTTCCTGGTTCTCACACTCTTAAAAACAGCCCTCTAAACCTAGTGTGTCCCCAACCTACCTTGGCAGCTTTACCCATCCCCACAGGGCTGCTCTGGGGTGGGATGGCACTGCCCATGAGCCAGTTCCGATCTCCCGGGTTGTCTCCACTCTATGTAAGTACCCTGCATCCCTTCTGACACCCACCAGCGGGCTGATGCTCTGCCAGCATCTGACAGGGCAGCTGCTACTTGCTCTACAAGGGACCAGCCTGACATTTTTCTCTAGGAAGGAGCTATTTAATGAAGCAGAAGTCATGGGATTCTGAGACATTTGTGCTCTTCCTAGGGTTAAGCCTGCATCCTCCAGAAGGCAAACCAGGTCCTCCGTGCTCTCCAGCACAATCTCATTTCAAGAGGGAAGATAACGTGAGTCTTTTTCTGGACACCTAAAGCATTTGAGCAGTACGGAAAGGAGGGTGGAAATGTCACAGTGAAAATTTCCAAAGCTTCAGCCTCATTAAGTTTAAAAAATCTGAGCTGATGGAGGGTGAGCAGCTGGCGTGTCCCCCGAAATCTGGCTGTTGCAAAACAAAGTAATAAACACCTACTTATCTGTGTTCTAAATGGGACAGACTAACAGGCTCTGCCACATAGCCCCTTCACTGTGACCTGAATACATGTCCGCCTGCAGTCTCAGGACGGGGCCAGTTTGGAATGAGTCTTTGCAGGCAGAATTAAGGTGAGAGTCTCAAAGTAAGAGCACCCTATATCCAGTAATGGTGAGCCTTAATGAGCTTTGTGTCTAGAGAAGACCTCAACAAACAAAGGGGGACCGACAGAAGAGCGATGTAGCCACAAGCCAAGGAATGGCAGGCGCCCCCAGAAACTGCAGGCAACAAGGATTCTCTCCTAGCTCTTTCAGAGGGGCGTGGCCCTGCTGCCACTGTCAACTCTGGATCCTGCCCTCCAGGTCTGTAAGAGAATCCATCTCTGCTATGTTTAAGCGCCAAGCCTGTGGTCATTTGTTATAGCTCTAAGAAAGTCACTTATCCCTCTCTGCCTGATGTCGGCCTCAAGTTTTAGGGTCAAAAGGAGGTAGTGAAACTTAATTTATGTCATATTACCCCAAAGCCTGTCCTGAGGGGTCTAGCCTGTGCACATTTTCAGAGCAACCAGGTACAAACCCCAACTCAACACCCTCCCCTGCCAGCGATCCCCCACCCTCACCACTAGTCCCCCAGCCCCCCACCCCTGACACTCCCACGCCCACCACCCCCACCACCACCCCAACCCCAACCCCCTCATCCCCACCACTAATCCCCCACCCCTGCCTCACCACTTGCTCCAGGGCCTTAAGGAGTTCCTCATCGAACAGGACTTTCTGCAGGAGACGGGACAGCGCCATCTGCTGCTGAGCAGGTAACACTGCGAAGGGCTGGAAGCTCCTCTCTAGGTGCATAGACGCTGTGGACCAGAGCACATAGATGCAGGGTCAGGCCTAGCTCACAACCTGCCTCTCAGTCACCAGTCCTTCCAAAGGACTCCAGGTTCAGAGTTGGTACCTGAGTGATTCTCAAGAACCAGGGAAGCTACAGGAAAGGAAGCAGGGACAGGGGAGCCCGCTTTGACACCCCAGGCCTCACCCTTCTCTGCCCACGCAGTGCTAAGCTTGACCAGGTAGTGCCTGGAAGCCACTTAAGTTCTTCTTTGGCATGGTGCCTATGGAAATGCATCTCAAGGCTGAATCACTAAGCATGAGGCACACGGGTCCCCAGACACATCCTTCCCAGCGCTGCCTAGAAATGCCCTGCAGTTTGGCATGCTTTCCTTTTCCATGCATGGTCAAAGGGCCGGTACTCTGCGTTCATGACAAACATGGCTTCCACTTCCCTCCCTGTGCCCTTCACTCCTGTTCAAGATGAGCACAGAGTGTATACACTCTGCTGTGCTGCTCGCATCCTCCTCAGGGGGCTTGGAAGCCTGTGCCCTGTAATCCTCTTCTCTTTCCCGAGGACAGTCAAAAGTTCCTAGGAAATTAAGCCAAATAAGATGGGCTGAGATGGTGCTTTCCTACTGAGGGCTGCGTGCTGATACAGAAATGCATGGCCTTGCTGATGGAGGTCTAGGAAACAACTGCTAAAAGCCCTACAGGTTGAACACACAATGCCTGAGTCACATCGTCGGACACTCCCCTTTGTGAGACCCTGCCTGAAAAGAAGGGCTGTCCTGGTTAGCCTAGAATCTGGGGGCTCAAACACCAGGCCAGACCTCCCAATCCACCTGCCACCATCCCCAGCTGCCCAGGACACTCCAGCCAATAGGAGGCTGACTCGGCTTGGAGCGGTGGGGAAGGAGATCCAGCCTACATCTTCTGCAGGGCAACTCCAGCTCAGCCACAACCATTTCTTGCAAGTAGATGCCTCAAATTCAGTCAACCTTTGTTCCAGGAAAGATCTACCTTAACTCCGGGTTTCCATCACCCTGTTCTCCAATACTGACAATTTGTAACCGGAACAGCATCCTTTGCTTAGGGATTTACTGAAGTCCCAGGGAGGGAGGAAGCTTTTCTTGCTATGCAAGGCAGAGCATATTCTGAGCCAGCCCCGGCTTCTCCTAAGCTCTTACCTCATCACATGTTTCTCCTTTTTCTCACCCAGTTCCCCCTACTGCCCACTGCTCTCCTGCACTCAGCAAAGCAAACTAATTCTAAAGCAACAAGCTATGTGGAGCAAAGAGGATTACCATGGCCAGTTCAGGGGTACAGCCCCTCCGCCATGTGGGTGAGCTGCCGCCATGGTTTTTACCATGCTGACAAAGAGCAGCCTGCCAGGCAGTGAAGCTCAGAATGTAACAAAACTGATACAGATCCTGAGGTCTCCAGCCCTGCTCATCACTGGCCATTCTCAGTAGTCCATTAGGGTTCTGTGGTTACAGGAAAAGAGAACTGTCAGGTACCTGACCAGGGCACTCCCTGGCCTCCCACACTGACCCACCTAGGGTCTCTCCATTCTCCAAAACAGCACCCGAGACCTGGTCCTCCCCAAGATTCAAGGGGATCTTGAAGGCCACATCACCTCTTGGGAAAGAGGGTTCACATCTCCATCGGGCCATAACCGTGCTGCAGACAATACCTTGTTTTAAAATATGTAGTGGCCCATCTTGGGAAGAGATCTCTTGACCCCCATCTGGCATGTCCAGGAATGCAAATTCTCTGTAGGCCATGGGGTCCAAGTAGACATAGTCAACTTTCCTCTCGTGCTCAAAGCCACCATGTTTCCCTTGCAGGAGACAGAATTCTGTAGCGGGGAGAAAAGCCCAAGTCGGACATGGGTTAGCACAGCGCTCATACTCATCTCAGACTCACCTTTACATGGCTCAGGCTGTGTTAAGACACACAGGAAGGCCTTTGCTCCTTTGCCTCTGCTTTTGAGACAGTCTGGTGGTGTGAATGAGAAATACTTCCCATGGCCTCATCATTTGAGCGTTTGGTCCCCAGCTGTGGGACTGTTTAGGAGGTGCAGCCTCGCTGGAGGAAGGACGTCACTGGAGGTCGGCTCAGAGTTATACCCTTGAACCAATGTCATCCAGTGAGATCTCAGCTTCCTGTCCCTGCTGACATGCCTCCACCCCTCCATGATGGACTCTTCTCTACCTGGAACCGTAAGCCAAATTAAACTCTCTCTCCCTTGATTTGCCTTTGGTCACAGTGTTTTGTCACAGCACCAGAAAAAAAACCAAGAAAAAAGGTTAAGAAGCAACCCAAGCCGAACCCCAAACCCAAATCCTCCTGCCCCAGCCTCCCAAGTGCTGGGATTACAGACATGTGTTACCATGTCTGCTCGCCTGAGGATGTTTACGCTCGGTCTGATGAAGTGTAGTGTGGCTGACAAAATATTCCTGCACTACAGCAAGCTTAGGCGCACCCAAGGGCTCCCTCTGTGTCCTTGTCCTCTGAGATGAGCACAGGGAAGACACCTCTCCTGGAGGGTGTGCCGCAACTTCAGGGGAGGACCAGAAAACCCTAGGTCTGTTCTCCACCATTTCCTCACATTCCTTCACTGTAAAATGTTTGGGGTTTCACATCCTAATGCCGCCACGGTGAGAGAGAGTCAGAGAAGGACTCCTGCTGAAGCAGAGCCCAAGAGGCCACCTTTCAGCAGAAGTGCTGTGGGCCAGGAGCTAGATAACCTAGATACGAGCGGCACTGGGCACAGGGCTCAGGGGGGCAGGGGTGTCTCCAGACAACGGATCAGCTTTGGGCAGACCAGCGGGCAGTGGTGTAGGGGATAAGAGATCAAAGGGGCGTATTTGCCCGGGCAAAGCTCATCCTGAGAACAGAGGCCACCACGGAGAGCATTTGGGCAGGTGACTGGAATGCTCCGATTGTGGCTCAAATCCTCACTACTGACTGCACTGCAAGGTGGAAGAGGACACGGGGCTCCTGAATACGTGGGTGAGAAGGGGCTGCTTAGGACTGGAAGGCAGGGTGAGAACAGCATCACTGCTGGGGACATCAGATCCAGTTCACACTGGAGGATGAGCAAATGGCCGCTGCACACGTGCAAGCTCCGTTCCAGAGTGATGAATGGTGCCTCTGATTAGACCCAGGAGAGACGTGTGAGGAAGGGGTTCATGGCCGCTGAGAACACAGAAGGATGGAGTCGGCTTCTCAGTGATTCACAAGACAGCTAGGGTAGCTGTCCAGGGTAACCCTGCCATAGCCAGGAGACATGGGCAGGCACCTCCTTCCGCCTCCCACAGACAGGAAGCATGGGCAGGCACCTCCTTCCGGCTCCCATAGGCAGGAAGCATGGGCAGACACCTCCTTCCGGCTCCCACAGGCAGGAGGCATGAGCAGGCACCTCCTTCTGCTTCCCATAGGCAGGAGGCATGAGCAGGCACCTCCTTCCGGCTCCCATAGGCAGGAAGCATGGGCAGGCACCTCCTTCCGGCTCCCATAGGCAGGAAGCATGGGCAGGCACCTCCTCCCGGCTCCCATAGGCAGGAGGCATGGGCAGGCACCTCCTTCCGGCTCCCATAGGCAGGAGGCATGGACAGGTACCTCCTTCTGACTCCCACAGACAGGAAGCATGGACAGGCACCTCCTTCCGGCACCCACAGACAGGAAGCATGGGCAGGCACCTCCTTCCGGCTCCCACAGGTTTGCTAATGGGACTATATATGCAAGAACATTTCCATGTGGAGAGTGACAGGAAATGCAGATGGGTAGGAACGGGGAGAAAAGCAGAACTATAGTGGTTATGGACCCAGCCACAACAGGCAAAGGTGGGCGCTCAACAGAGGAGAAAGCCTGGGGAGCGGCCTCCAAGGCCAGGGCCTGGGAAATGAGCCGAAGACAGGGATGGGGGATGGGGGAGACAGCAGAACCCAGAAAGCGCGAAGGGAGAAGGAAGCTCCAGGGGAAAACAGGCCACCCCAAATGAGCTGCAGGCAGCTTGGCAGGAAAGAGCTTGCCCGGTCTCTTGCCACCGAGGACCCTCCCAGAGCTCATAGCCATCCCTTCACATGAGCCACGTTTTCACGGGCCTTAGAGAAACGACACATTGACAGTAGTTAAATATAGAAACAAAAGCACTAGGAACGAATTGATAAAAGAGCTGCTGTTATATGCACACAATGGAATACTACCCATTCGTGAAAAGGAAACCCACGCATACATCTGGAGAACATTAAACCCCAGATGAAAGAAGACAAACACTGCATGATCGCGTTCATATGTAGATTCTAGAATAGTAAATCTCACGAAGCAGAGAAAAACAGTGGTCATCAGGGCCATGAAGTAGATGAAATAGAAACACACGGGCTAAATGACCCCAAGTTCCAGTTATGAGGAAGCTTTTTATCATCAAATACACAGACTTGTGACAAGCATTAGCAATGCTGTTGCCATGGAAACAAATGTGTGGGTTAAAATGACCGCTAGGGTTAAGAGAGTGAAGCTGGGGGTCCTGGGACTGAGAAATAAAAGGACCGCAGCTCAGCAGTTAGGGGCACTGGCTGCTCTTCCAGAGAACCGGGGTTTGGCTCCCAGCACCCACGTGGCGGTTCACAACTATCCCTACCTCTAGTTCCAGGGGGTCTGATGCCCTCGCCTCTGACCTCCTCCAGGCACACATATGGTGCATATACATTCACGTAGGCCAAACTCTCATACACATAAAATAATCATCAGCAACAACAAAATAAACTCCGACCTCCACAGCATCAGCATCGATACTTGGTTGTTATCTGACTTAGAATCAGCTTGGGTGCTCAACAACAGATGAGCAGATCAAGGAAACATGGCACATTTACAGAAAGGAATATTACTCAGCCATTGAACAGATAAAATTCTATCGTGTAGGACAACGTGGACGAACCTGGGAAACAGCGTGTGGGGAACATAAGTCAGACGCAGAAAGGCACACACCGCTTTCCCTCGCTCATGCCAAGTCCAAAGGATGCTGTTCTCCCAGAAGGAGACCGAGAAAAGGATGGATCGGGCTGGGCAGAGAGGGCACACAGCCTCAGCTGGATGGGAGGAAGCAGTGGGGAGCAGTGTAGTGTAGATTGTAAAGCAGTCTGTGAGGTTATCGAATGCTCTTATCAAAAGAAATGATAAATGTGGGACAGCAAGGTGGCTCAGTGGGTACAGACGACAGCCACCAAGCCTGACAGCCTGAGTTGTGTCCCCTGGACCCAAATGGAGAAGGAGAAAACTGACTCCTGCAGGCAACCCATGGCACGGATCCACACACTCATGTAATGCACAAACGCAAATACATAAATGTAATCATTTACAAAGGACTCAACTAAAACTAATATAGCCTACATGCAAGCACACACACACCCTCCAAAAAATGCCAATAATGTGGCGAACTGGCTGGGTAGACTAGTGTGGGAGTGGTAATCACAGTGAATATGCTAGCAGAGTATTGTAATAGCTAAGATATTTAGTGTTTACCAACTGAGCCTCACGAAAGCAGGGGAAAGTATCCCAGTGACCCATCAGTCAAAACCACCCGAGAGGCCCCGGAGCATCCGCACCCGATTGAACCGTACAAGTGCACATTGACACTGCTCATCATACACTGATACTGCAGCAATCTGATCGCCTTCAGGTGTGTTTGAGCACGAACAGACAGAAGGGGAGAAGGGTGAGGAGAAGGGAGAGAAGGAAGGGAAGGAAGTGGGGGAGGAAAAGAAAAGGAGGAGGAAAAGAAAGTAGTGTGGGGGGGGGGTACCTGGGTGTGGTAGCATGAGCCTGTGATCCCGTATTTGGAGGTGGAGGAAAGAGAATGAGGAGTTAGTTCAAGACCATCCTCAGCAATATAGCCAGCCCAAGGCCAGGCTGGGCTACATAAGACTGTCTCAACTCTTTTGTAATGTTGTGAACTAGTTGCAGTGGGGATGTAGGTGCCACCCCAGTGTTCGGAGCAGCCTAGGTTTCCCTTACCTAGCATCCTTGATCAGTTTTTAAAAACGGACACAATGTCACCTCAGGCAAATCATTTCCGCTTCCCAGAGCACAGATGAACAAGCCAGTGAGGGGCGCTCAGTGTTTTGTCCCAGGCCTGATCATGCCCTCAAATGCACGTGGGTTGGGTGACATTGGTGACCTGCCGCCCACCTTTGCAGCAGAGCTGGGTAGCATGTCGCGTGGTCTTCGTGAGAGTCGGCACAGACTCACGGAGGCCGACCCACCTTACCCACCTCACCAAAGACAAACAGACATGTGTGTAGTCTATTCTCGAGGGCAAAGGTCACACTTAACAAGAGTGCACAGTGAAATGCCCATAGCTGCTCATCTTCCAGCCTCAGCGGCTGTGACAGCCAGCGGCATTCTTTACCTCTACCCCAGCACACACACTCCCTTACGCCATTTTGGAAGGCCTGGGAAGGGGCCTTGTGCATTAGCACAGTGGTTCTCAGCCTTCCTAACGCTGCGACCCTTTAATACAGGTCCGCATGCTGTGGTGACCCCCAACCATAACATTATTTTCATTGCTACTTCATAACTGTAATTTTTCTACTTTTATGAATAGTAATGTAAAAAACCTGTGTTTTCCAATGGTCTTAGGCAACCCCTGTGAAAGGGGTGTCAACCCACAGGTTGAGAACCACTGATCTGGAGTCAGCAGAAAGCTCTAAGAAAGGACAGCCCTTATTTTCTTCTACTGATAGCAATGACGTGTGAGGCCCAGAGCAAGGTCAAGTCGCAGTATGGGCTTCACGCTGGGAGGGAGGGTGGAGTCACGGTGAGGACAGGGTTAACAGATAAGTCAGGGTGGTTGTGAGTTACCACTGTCCTGGGCACTTCCCAGGCCTCAGGAAGTGGGTGGCACTGTTTGGGAAGGCTTAAGAGGTGTGGCCTTGTTGGGGGAGGTCTGCTTCATGCTTACAGCAAAGGATGTGAGCGCTCAGCACCCTGTTCCCGCTGTCCTGCCCAACGTGGTGGGCTTCCTTCCCTCAGGACGCGTAAGCCCAAACAAACCCTTTCTTCTAGGCGGTGTCCAGTCATGGTGCTTTGTCATGGCAACAGAAAAGTAACTCCATGGGGCCTTAACCTGGGAAGACTCAACAGCTTCCCAGGAGGTCTGGCCGGCTGCAGAGCGCATGCTCCCCCCACAGCCACAGTGACATCTGAGGAGCATGCAGCCCCTGGCTTCCCTCCGCCCTCTCCCCAGTGCCCCCAGATCCTCTGACACCCTCACACTCCTCTGATGCCCCCTTCTTCTCTTTCTGCCAGGGCGAGCCTCACAAGGACTCACCAAACTGGCCGTCCTGTTTCACATACAGCTCGATGATGCCACAGGCGATGGTGGTGGCAGCAGGGATCTCCAGCACCACATTGGTGTCCTTCACGAGGGTCCCGTCCTCCATTGCTGACACCTGCGGGCGAAACATGTACCCCTTGTGTGCTCAAGAAGCACTCTTGGCTTCTTCCCACCACCCCTCTGCCCAGCCTCCTAAGAATGCTGGGGAAATAACCACAGAGCTAAGGCAGGAGAAGGAGACAGCTGGCACTGATATCTGGTGGCATGGGGAAGATGGCTGTGCATGGGGTAGGAAGCCACACCACAGGACATTGTTTGGACAACAACATACTTAGTATTGTACTACTGTGGGCCCACAATAAGGTGATTAATGGAACCAAAATGTTTCTGTCTCCTAGTGCCATCCTGGGCACTGTAACATCACTGCAGGATGCATCATTCATGTCTATGGTGATGCCACTAACAGCTCCCTGGGCACCTACAGTCACTGTCAGCAGGGAACACGTGATAATTATAAATGACTATGCTACTATGCATATACACTAGACTAGAACCTTAACATCGCATCTTACAGTATTTTCAGAATATATCCCATATAGTAGGAAGGGAGGAAGGGAGGGAGGGAGGGAGGGAGGAAGGAAGGAAGGAAGGAAGGAAGGAAGGAAGGAAGGAAGGAAGGAAGGAAGGAAGGAAGGAAGGAAGGAAGGAAGAGAACTATAAACTGTGCAGAGGTAGGCTGGCAGTAGCCTCGTACATCTCAGGTTCACTGCATCCCCCAGGTCCACCATGAAACCCTGCAGACACCTAGGCCTACATAAATTATTCCGCAGTGTGACATCACCACCAACAAAATTACCTGGTGATGGGTAGCTCAGAGCATAGCTAAGTGATATATGACTGCGGATAAATAAGATCAGTTTCCAATTCCCATCCCAGGCTTTGAGAAACAATTTTGAAATCCCGGTGAAAATCCCAACAGGATCAAAGCTGGGCTGGGAAATGCTCGCTGAGCTGTTCCCACACCTGTGGATGATGCTCTGTGCACAGACAGGCAGGCAGAGCCGGGAGGACATGCAGACGGAGAGGCTGCAAGACAAACAGGAGGAAGAGGGATGGGCAGGGCTGGGGTAGCAGGCAGGCAAGAGCCCCTCCCACAGCACACCAGGAACAGGAAGCCGGAGATCCATTTGTTGGCAGGACACTGGAGACAGAGCACAGCTTGGCCATCTGCTCCTGGTATGGAGGATTTGCTCTGAATCAAGAAGCAGCAGCAGCAGCTGGGCTTCCAGCCCCCAGGAGCAGAGCTTCAGCGGGTGGTGACCATGGGCAGAAGTGTCAGCAGGGCCAGCTGAAGCCACCTCGATCAGGTCCTCCTTCCCCCGCTGTGGTCCAGCCTCTCACCTGCCTACCCAGCCGCCCCAGACCTAGACTTATAACCAGGCCCCTTATCACCCCTGCCGAATACAGCCTCCTGGGTCTTCTAGAAAAAGCCAGCACTACCAAGAAGGAAACTCTGGAGAAGATTACAGACCCTGCAGCCGGCTGAGGGAAAACAGTTCAGGGCTAATGAGCCAGCTCCAGGGTCAGCTTGCAATCTGGAAGAAACAGTAAATGATAGATAGATAGATAGATAGATAGATAGATAGATAGATAGATAGATAGATAGATAGATAGATGATAGATAGGTAGGTAGGTAGGTAGGTAGGTAGATAGATAGATAGATAGATAATAGATAGATAGATAATGACAGATAATAGATAGGTAGGTAAATAATAGATAGATAGATAGATAGATAGATAGATAGATAGATAGATAGATAGATAGATAGATAGACAGACAGATCCTCTTGTTCCTGGCCCAGCTAGAGCCTGACTAAACAATTCCCTTGACGGAAGCACTCTCCTTCCATAAGGGACAGTGCCTGGCCCAGGCCCAGCTAGTCACTAGGCCCGTGGTTCTCAACCTTCCTAATGCTGTGACCCTTTAATGCAGTCCCTCATGTTGGGGTGACCCCCAACCATAAAATGACTTTCCTTGCTACTTCATAAGTGTAATTTTGCTCCAGTTATGAATCATGACATAAATCTTTCTGGAGATAGAGGTTTGTCGACGAGGGTCACGACCCACAGGTTGAGAACAGCTGCACTAGCGCTCTATTGCCCCCGCTTGAGAAACGGATGCGACCCACAGGGTCTGGTGAGATCCAGCCCCGGAGCACTCTTTCCCTGCACCGTGGCAAATCTGAAGAAAGCCTGGAGCCACCAGCTCCATGGGGAAGAAGACTCCGCTTTTCTGGGTGGCTCACAAACATCAAGTCCTGAGTCCCATGGTAACTGAGGCCAGATGCCTCAAAGCGCTTAGTTCCATGGCCAGGGAGGTCTTGTTTACCAGAGCCAGCTTGAGTTCCCTTTCTAACTCTCTGCAGGATGAGTTCTGACTGAGGAAGACACCAGAAAAGGAGCCCGTGGGGAAAGGTCTCCAGGCGGGGACGCGGCCGCAGCACCTGCACAGTCTTGGTCTGGATCCCCACCATGCCTCCACACTTCTCCTCCGTCTGCACATGCTCAGAGATCACACACTTCTGCGTGGTCACAATCTTCTGTGTCAGCACACACAGGACCTCGTTCCTCCTCTCTAGCACCTGCTGGAGCACCGGGTTGTCCAGATTAATTGTTCTGAAAAAGAAAAGTGGTCATGAGTCACTCCATCGCTCCAGGGAGACCGAGGCAGGGACCAGAATCTCCTCTTGTGGCTGGAAGAGGGAACAGGGAAGGATAGGTTTCGTGCTTTTCCTGGTGAGAAAAGAGGAGGCAGGTTCTCTAGAATGGCTTTAGCCAAGCTCTCCTGTGGCCACTCAGACCAGCTGAGGGACAGGCTGGACACTGGAGGAAGTACCAAGGAATTGTATACTCTTATAACAAAGTCCCCAACAGCCACACTGGTTTCAGTGAAGAACAATGGAAAGCCATCTATGGGAGAGCTGCCGCCCATCCTCCTGGGTGGGCTGGGGATGGGCATAGGGGTAGCAGACATGGTAGCCAGACATCCTTCCTCCTCCGAAGCCCAGGGTCCTTATGATGAGAGGCACAGTGGCTCCTCACACAGGAGAGGTGGTGTTAAGTGCAAGCTGTAGCAGGAAACCAGACTGGAGCTGAGAAGGGACTCGGGAAGAAAGCAGAACCTCTCCGTGGGGTTTCTATCACAGCCATTTGGTCTGCAGCTGCCTCAGGCCACCAGCATGATTCCCCATCCTGAGCCACTTAAAATTCTGTAGAATTGCAAGGCCTGGCCTCCCTTCCAGCTGTAACTTGGTGCTTAAAAGCCAGTGAGGGGACAAGCTCCTTGGAGACCCCAGTTAACACCACGGCCGTGGAAGGGTGGGAAAAACACCAGATCCCAGGTACGGCCAGCATAGGAAGAAAAGGCTCATTCTAGACTACAAGGACCTCTGAGGTCAGTCACCTGCAAGCTCAGCACCCCTCCCCGGCCACTAAGGGGCCGGTGCTCCATCCTAGGTACACTCAGGGTTCCCAGGGCATTAACCAGCTCATGACCCACATAGGAATAGACACAAAGTGGCTTATCCACACCATGGGACTGGTCGGCCATGGGAAGGAGTCAGCTCCAACACATGCTACCATGTGAAGGAACTTAACCCTCATGCTAAGCAATGTCAGCCTCCATCAAAAGACAAACACGGCAAGATTCCATATCTAGGAAAGATCTAGAATGGACAAAGTCACAATGATAGTGAAGACTGGAGTGCTGGGCTGGAGGGTGGGGGAATCAGGGAAGACTAATCGCTTAATGGCTGTAGAATTCTGGTTCGAGGTGGTGGAACATTCCAGAGATGGAGAGCAGTGGCAGCCATACAACAGAGGAAATGTGCTTAGTGCCAATGAATTATACACTTAAGGACAGACCTGCAAATTTTATACTTTTCCACAGTAAAAAGAAAAGACATGTGTAATACTGGTCAGTCTCCCACTAGCCAGGGCAATGCAAAAGTACCGCAATATACACATGAGTCAAATGGGCCAGTCACAAAACTGCTGGCCGGGGCCCTGGGGGCGGCTCCACTGGTGAAGCATGACTGAGCTGGACTCCCAGCACCCACGGAAAATACCCACGGTGGTGCACATCTGTCATCCCCGCTCTGGGGAAGCACAGGTGAAAGGACCCCTGGAGCTCACTGGCTGACCAGTTTAGTCAAATCAATGAGCTCCAGGTCCACTAAGAGGCTGTCTCCAAAAGTAACAGGAAGTGACTGAGGAAGACACCTGATGCCAACCTCTGGTCCCCACCTGTGCACACACACATATGCCTACATAAACATGTATACACATACCACATAGACACAAAAGTAGATCAATAGATTGATTAGTTCATTGTCAGGCAGGGCTTCAATTCCAGGAAGAAATATGGACGGAGCAGCTGGGTGCTGCCCTCCCCCTGGATGACCTGGAGTGAATTATGTCACCTTCACGTGGCAGCTTTCTCATGGCTAGCTGTTGGTAACAATGCCCTCGGCATGGCTTGTTTAAGGGTGTAGTGAGCAGTCAGTTTATGCCACAGCTGGTTATGCCACACAAGCATTCCAGCCAGCTTCCCAATGAGGTCCACAGAACACAGCCACTATATGTGCAGTTCCTGGGAACTGTGGGTCATTTAACTGGGTCAGCGATAAATTCCCATACCACTCACTTGCTTAAAAAGCCCTCAAGGGCTCTGCCTCATCTGCTCAGCCAGGTTCTACAAGCCCATGATCGTGTTCCTGCCTCCTATTCTGTCAAACCCACCTTCAAGCCTTTCCTTTACGCCCAGCCAAAGCCCTGGAGGTCGTATCTGTTTGCCACCTCCTCGGGGAACTGAGCTCCATGTGCTTCGTGAGTGGCACTCTGTCACATGGCACAGCTAAGATGGAGACACATGTCCACACAATTCTTCCTCTAGCTCACTCTGTGTTCATTGCCTGCACCTCCGTCTAGAGGAGAAACTCCATGGGGTTGGGGACCATCCTACCATGTTCGGCTTTTCTCAGGGCTGGACAGCACTCAGCACCCAGAACAGGCGCAGGGAACATCCTGGGGGTAAAGGAATATGGAAATGATGACGTAAGTTCTGCCTGTTTCTTCCTTGTCTATTGCTTTAATGTACGTGTGTGTGTGTGTGTGTGTGTGTGTGTGTGTGTGTGTGTGTGTGTGTAAGTCAGAGAAAGAGAGGGAAGAGGAAGGGAGGGAGGATGGAGTAGAAAAGAAGGGAGAGGGAAGGGAGGGAGGGAAGAGAACATATTGAAGATGGAGAGGGAGGAGAAGGATTCTATGTTTGGTTAGGTGAACGGTGAACAGGTGACTCTCCCCTTTTGCTGACACTGGGTGGTCAACATGAAGTCCGGTCCCTTTGTGGCTGAAGCAAGGGCTGGAAAGGGCAGTTTACAGTCCCTTCCCACATGTTCCTTCTTTCCCAGAGCCGAGAGAAGTTCAATGCTCCGGCCACGCCCACCCGAAAGATGCTTGAGGATTTTATCAGGGTCAGCAAATTAGCAAGGCAGTACAAACTTCCAGGAACAAGTATGTCACCTACACTGACCAGGCGCATGGGTGGAAAGGTCAATGGCACAGCCGTCCCCGTGGACATTCACTATCGCTGGCCCGGAACCAGACAAAGGCCGTAAAAAGATGCTGGAACAGGAAGATGCATTTTGACCAGTGTGAAAGGAAAAGGAATAAACAACCGAGAAGATGTAGAAATGAAATCAACTCAAAGCTTTCATTAAACTGAAAAGGAAAGGGCTGGAGAGATGGCTCAGTATGCAGGAGCACTGGCTGCTCTTGCGGAGGACCTGGGTTCAGTTCCCAGCAGCAACCGCATGGTGGCTCACAACCACCTGGACTCCAGCTCTGGAGAATTCAAAGGCACTGCTGGCCTCTTGGAGGCACCCACACACATGGTGCCTATAAGCTCACACTGCCTTGCACACCTACGCACAAATTTAAAAAGCAATCATTTTCAAATATAAAAGGGGCACTGCACTTTGAGGGGAAACCGCGAGGTAAGGCTCTGGGGGCAGTGAAGACGTGATAGGAACCTAAACAGCACTGGGTGAAAGTGCCAGTGTGAGGACAAATGCCTGGAACCCCGGTACCCAGGAAACTGGGAGAAGGACTGCTCTAAGTTCAAGGCCAGCCTGGGCTCATATCGAGTTCCTGGCCAGCCTCGGCTATAGAGTAACACAAGCAGAAGAAGACTAAAGAGAAAGAGGAGAGAGAGGAGGGTGGGGAAGAGAGGGGAGAGAAAGGGAGAAGAAGAGGGAGGAGGGAGAAGGTGGGGGAAGAGGGGAGAGCAAAGAGAGGAAAGCAGTTCGCTACCATGCCCTCGGCTTCCCTGCAGGTCAGGAAGCAACAGTACTGGCCGAGGTTGAGTAACCACAGCCTCCACACTGCAGTGGCCCTCAGTCCCAGCTAGAGGAGATGCTGAGCTCACGGCACTTCGCTAGCTTTGTACCCAGTGAGGAGCTGGGATGTCTGAGAGTGAAGGAACCTACTGTGTGCTCCCACAGCCTCCAGGAACCAGGTTGCAGCTCTCATGCTAGACCCTTTGACAGCTTGGGACCAGCCTCCTAGAAGCCCAGGGCAGCATGTACTGCAACAGGTGTTGGACACACACACCCTCAGGACCCACAGGTGCCGTAGCGACAAGCTGACACCCACTTCCACTTTCCACACAGGAACTATACCCGGGGCCCGCACCACATTGCACAATCTTGGGGCTGCATCCCCTTTCGACTGGGAGCTGAGAAAAGTCCCAGCTGTTTTCCAGTTTCAGGAACACAAGCACTAGGGGCCCTAAGACCTGCCACTTCCTGGTCATACCTGTACTTGTCTGGTGGTAGGTATTCACCATGGGGCAGCACCTACCAGTGCAAAAAACTCTGGCATTAACCAAGTTTGTCTCTGGGTCTGTGGGAAAACCCATCGGTATTCCACATCTCCACAACATCTACCAGTTCAGTAAGCTGTGTATCTGCCAGAGTTTGCTCTGTGTGACCTAGGGACATGCTAAACAGCCTTCAAATACCAAATGAGCTCCAGATGCCAATGGCATGAGTTCCAGGACTATGTCTGCTCAACCCTAGGAGTCCAGGGAAGGTTTTATCATACCAGCAGCTTACATGTTAACTGCACATGGCCCAACACAGGTTAAGGACATCTCACTATAATCCCTGGCTTTCTGACCAAAAGAGTTGTTGCAGAATATTTGATTAACTATGCAAAGATGTGTTGCATTTGTTTAACTATGTAAAGATGTGTTACATCTGTTTGTGTTGTACAGCAATTGTTTGACTGTGTAAAGGTGTCTTGCTTTTGTTTATGCTGCATTTGTTTAACTGTGTAAAGATGTGTTGCTGTCTCACCTTGCCTGCCTAAGGCACCTGATTGGCCTAGTAAAAAGCTGAACAGCCAATAACAAGGGAGGAGATATAGGTGGAACTTTAGGCAGGAAGAGTTAAGTAAGAGGAAGAATTTAGGCTTGAGAGAAAAAGAAGTAAGAAAAGGAGACCCCAGGGGTCAGCCAGACAGGCATGGAGGAAGCAGGAAAGTAGGACACACAGAGTGAAAGAAAAATAAAAAGCCCTGAGGCAAAGCATAGATGAATAGAAGCAGTTAAATTAAGT